GTGTGTGTGTGTGTGTAAATCCAGTCGTGCACTTTGTCGATCTGTAGGCTTCTCCCAGTAACTCGATGGGTCGGACTCCTCCTCGACAGCCCGGCAGCCGCAGCAGTCCGCTGACCTCGCCCACCAACTGCTCCCACGGAGGACTCTCCCCCAGGTGCTCCGCAGAAACGCTCCCCCTCCCACAACCTGAATGTAAAGTCAGACCCTGGGATCTAAAGCTTCAACAGGCTGCAGCTCATAACAGACTAACCTCTCGACTACCGTCTCTGGTTAAAGCAGGAGATAAACTCAAGTATAGTTTAAATATCAACTTTTATTCTGCGTTGGAAGTTTTTATTGACACTAGAATCAAATGAATAGTTTTTTTGCTGTGACTAAAGTTTTGAACAGTTTGGTGGGGGTGGAGTTCTCCACCTGCTCGTACTAACACCGACTGAGAACTTCTCCTTTTATTCCCACTTTCCTCATGTTTCTATTTCCTCTCTTCCGTCTCCTCTTTCTTCTCCTCTTCCTCGCCCTCCTTCCTCCCCGGCCGGCTGCAGTCGGTTGTTGGGTTGGAGCGCAGATGGTCTCTCCAAGTTCCCTCCTCCACCCTTCCCCTCTTCCCCTCTTCCTCCACCCACTGCCCACTCCTCCCTCAAGGCCCTGCGGCGAGCTTACTCACCCAGGTAACCCCACCCCCTTTTACCTCCTCCTCTTCCTCCTCCTCTCCCTCCGTCCTCTGGGGTTTCACAGTCAGACTGTAAGAACTTTGACGTACTGTGGAACCTCGGACTCACTCACTCGTCTGTCTTCACTCCTGCTTCGCTGCTGCCTCCATCTGCTCAAACTGTCGTTTCCTGTCCATGTGCTCACTTCCTGTTTCTCCTCCTGCTTCCTTTGTCTCTGAACTAAAAACCGTCGTCAGGTGAGAACGTGTGTCTCTGTGCTGTGACTCACCTGTTTGCCTCCACCTGCGTCAGTGTGCCAACATGCACGGTCATGCACGTGCACCGTACTGTGCCGGACTGTGGAACGCAGCAGTGCACGGATTCAAAAAACAACCTGGAGGATGTGTTGAAGTTTGTGAACCGCTTCCTGTATCCATGACGACCTTTAAACCCTCACGAACCTTCACAAAGAAACATCTGGACCCAGATTTATAATCTGAGCAGATTCCGTGAGTCATCGAGTGACTCAGTGTCTCCTGCACTATGACGTCACCGTCATCAGACTTTATATTCAACATGAAACCGAATCTGTGAAATGATTTCTGATGGTTTCTAGGTTGTGACACCAGGGGGTGCTGTTTCACCACTAAATATTAGAACATTAGATTTTCTGGAAATCATAGAATGATCTCAGGAACGTTGACAGAACGTCAGAGCAGTTCCATCCACATCCTCCGCAGCACCAGAGGTTAGCTTCGTCCTCTAACCTCCGAGGATGAACGTCCTCGTTAGATCGTCCAATAACTGTGTGTGTGTCTCTACCCCCCCCCTCTGCAGCATGCTGGAGTACGACAGCGAGAACCTGAACTCAGAGGAGATCTACAGCTCCCTGCGCGGCGTCACCGAGGCCATCCAGAACTTCAGCTTCCGCAGCCAAGAGGACCTGATGGAGCCGCTGAGGAGGGACGGCAAGAGGGACGGCACGGTGAGCGGGGGAGTTAGTGAATAAGGTTAATGTGCAACGAGAGAGAGAAAAGGAAAGTGGATGAAAGCAGAGACAAAGACAGAATCAAAGAAACTGTTGACGATTCGTTTCTACTTTGAGGACGAGAAGAAGACGATCAGAAACTTTTATATCTAACAACTCGATCAAATTCTTTTCTTCTCTCTTCAGTCCGGGGTCGGGTCGTCCTCGGACTCCGACCCGGTGGAGGGCGGACGCACGGCTCTGGACAACAAGACGTCTCTGCTGAACACTCCCTCGCCTCGATCCTTTGCCGGCCCGCGTTTCCGTGACTACAATCCATACAACTACACGGACGGCATCAGCACGCTGGACAAAGCCGCCCTGAAGGAGGCGCTGTACGAGGACGCCGTGGAGCAGCTGCGAGATGGTCAGGCTTCAGTTGTTCTCGTGTTTCCATCTTCAGTTTGTTGTGTTGTGTGTTCTAAGTTGTGTTCTCTCTCTCTCTC